AGAAATGAATGAAGCACCAAAAGAATACAATGCTATAAAAAGTTTAGTAGAAAATAATGACGCGTCGGCAGACGCCTCGCGAGGCATTCGCGACAATAAACATATAGAAAAAATCAGTAATAATATTCAACCAAAAAATGTTAAGTTAATTCCACATAAAAAGAAATGAAATAAAATAAAAATATCTAAATTTAGATATATAATGGACAATTTAGTTAGCGAAGCACAAGATGTTATGATTAATAATCTTAACTTTGGAATCCCAGAAACCGCACAATATATCACTGACCGCCGTTTTGTAAATTATTTTCCATCAGGGTCTAACATCTATGCCAGTAATCAAGGAAACAAGAACATAAGATTTTACATAAGCGGAGAAGCAAACCAATATTTAGATTTAAGCAGTGTGCGGTTATTCGCCACTGTTCAGAATACTGATACTACAAGAGAAAAGTTTTTAAGACCATTAGGGGGTCTTCATTCATTCTTTAACCGATACAGGGCAACGGTAGGAGGGCAAATGGTTCAAGACATTATTGAATACAACCGTCATTGTGAGTTGTTTAAAAGTTTCAAATCAAAAAATGTAAATGAGATGGATGATATTGAAAGTAGTGCTAATCCGTCTTTTGATGATGATTACCATAAATACGCTAATGGATTAAATAACTTTATTGATTATACAACATCAGGAGCAACTAATGCTGGTGGTGTAGCAACTGTTGATACAACCGCAGACCACAATGAATATGGGAGAATTGATTTTAGACCTACCAGACATAGTTTATCAGGAATTCCCGGTGCTAATGGAAAAGCCCGTCTTTCTCATAAGCCTTGTTGTGGATTATTAGAAAGCAATTACTACTTACCATTGAGAGTTGCCCCATTAGAATTAGAATTTACAATTGTATCGGATGGTAATGAACCCATTGTAGTCCCACAAGGGGATGCTGGAACAAATCCAGAAACCGAAACCGATAAGCAAGGTTATTACTTTCAATCTGGTAATACATCAGTAAGTTGGGAAATCAATAATGTAATCATTAGAGCAGAAGTAATCACACTTGACAACACCGTTGATAATAACATTACAAAACACTTATTGGAAGGACAATCATTAAAACTTATCATCCCACAATACCACACCATCACACAAACCTTTAACACCGGTGGAGGTGAAATTAATATGAACATTGTAAAATCAGCATCCAAATTAACTAATGCTTTCATCACACTTTATAGAAGCCCAAGAGGTGGAAGCATTTATGGTCAATACTTGCCAGATAATTACATTTATAAGAGGTGGAACTATTTTTACAATCCTATGATTAACGGACAGATTAACGACGGTCCATTAGCAGATACATTGCCATTACAACAAGGAAAAGGGTTTGCTGACAACAGTAGGGCACTTACTTACCAACTTCAAATTGCCAATAAGAAATTTCCTGAGTTTGAAGTTCAATCACTTTCAGAAGCATTCTATTTTTTGAGGCGGACATTACACTACTTAAATCCGGAACAAAACTCACTGAATATCAGTTATAAGCAGTATCGGGAAAATAAATTTGTTATTGGGTTTTCAATGGAGAAGATGTCTGATTTAGCCTTTAGTGGCGTTAATACTAAAATGGGAAGCTTAATCACTTTTAAAATCAAAGGAACCGAAGGAACACTGGCAGAAACAGAACAGATTGAAGAAATATTCACTACATTGGTGTCTGAAACAGTTTTGGAAATCCGCTCTGATGGAAGCGTCGTGTATGATTAAAATATTAATTTCTAATATTAATATATATATATATAAATGTTTCAGGCATATAAGCGAAAACAAACTACAACAAATTATAGAAAGAAAATGAATGCCCCAGCAGGTAAGGCAACCGGTAGTGGTATGTTTAAACACTATGACACAAGGTATATGGCGTGGTTAAAGAAGCAATTAGATGAAAAGGAGACAAGAGATAAATTAATATCAATAAGAAATGATATAGTTGAAGCAAATAAAAGAGTGAATTATAGAAATCAATTAGACAGAGTTAATAATGAAATACAAAGAGACAATCTTAACCATAATAGTTTAGAACATTTACAGCATCAAATAAATCAATTTAGAAATCTGAATTTTAGTTGATATAGAATATTTTTAATCTAAAATATTCTATATTATCAATGGCAACAGCAGTGATAGAGAATGTAAATAAAATGTCCAAATATGGATTACGCAGAAAACCAACTTATGAAGAAATCACCAATTTAATATCAGAAAATGAAAAACTGACTGGCACTTTACCAAACAGAGACGCTACATTTTTCAGAAATTCACCAGAGGGCAGTATATTTGATGGGGCAGATGCTATGGAACAACTGAAAGAAGAACAAGGCAGATTATTATTGAGGCAAATGTCAGACATATTGTTAAGGCAAAATGTAAGAACAGCAGGTAGAACATATCACACTGAAAGACTACAACAACTACCCACAACATCATCAACAATAGCACAACCAACACAACCTATGAATGTAGATGAAGAACTAACAACGCAAACAACACCAACAGTGCCATCATCTTCAACACAACAAGCATCTCAATTGAATGCAGAGCTTACACAAAGACAAAGCACAGCAACCAAAAGGAGAGAAGAAACAGCAGTAAATCACAGAGGGGAAGTATTCAAACAAAACAAGCCAACAATCACTGAACAAATACATCACATCAACCCACCAAGAAGTTTTGAACCAATAAAACCAGAAACTTTTAACATAGCTACAGAAGATGAAACAAATGAAACTGACATGAAACAAAGCAGAGCAAAGAAAATAGTAAAAGACAGACAAGCCAAATCCAAAAGAGAACCAGCATCAATAGCAAATTCAAGCATACCAGCATCAAGCAACCAAGCACCAATGCCAGTTGTTCAAGTAATGGATGTAAGTAGTTCAAGCAAAAGAGCAGAACCAGAAACAAGAGTAGAACCAAGAGGCAAAGCAGGACGACCAAAAATGCACAAAGCAGGAACTGAAAGAGGAGATGGAACTAAAAGGGATGGAAGCGAGCCAGAAGACACAACAGCAAAGAAAAAAAGAAACAAGAAAAAAGATTTAGGTTTAGGAATGGGAGACGATGCAGATGATGAAGATGAAGAACAACAAGGCGACAACAGAAGAAAAACAATTCAAAAACCATTAGCACCTTACAAAATAGGAATTCAAAGATTAAGAGAAGAATTTGTGAATGCAAATAACAAGGGAATGATTACCAAAGAAGAATACAACAAATTTAGCACACTATATAAAAACTTTATATCAGCAAAGGGAAACCAAAACAGAAAATCACAAATAATAAAAGAGGCAAGAGATGTTTATAGAGAAGTCTTATTTACAAAATTGAAGGATGCTTTCAAAAATCAATCATAATATTTTTGACTTTTAACGCGCAAACACTTAAAGAAAAGTTACCTTAATATAATGAGGACTAATCCTTAAGTCTTAAAAGTGAAATTTATTTTTAAGACTTATGATTTTTTTGGAATATTTTTTGTGAAATTTTTTTGTGATGAAAGTTTGGAAAATATTTTTTGAAAAATAAAATTTAGATTTTTGAAAAAAATGTTTTTTGGAAATAACTGGTGCAAAACACCTTAAAGAAGTAATGCCTATGTAGAGTATGGAGAAAAGATATTGTAAGAGATGCAATGCAACCAAAGCTGTAGAAGAGTTTAATGATGTTAATAAATATTGTTTAAGATGCTTAGAAACGAACAGAGAAAAACATTGGAAGAACAGAGACAAAAGATTAGAAATGAATAAGAAGTGGTATGCAGAACATATTGAAGAAAGAAGGGCATATCGTCAAATAGAAGTTTATTGTGAAATTTGTGAATGCAAAGTGAAGAAGAATGGAATGTCTCAACATTTGAAGACACAGAAGCATTTAAGAAACGAAGAAGAGAAGAAGCAAAATAAATCATAACTGTAGGATATAGTTTTTGAAAAATATATCCTAAAGTTATTTTTTTTTGGATGATAAAAATTTATGATTTATATTTTTGCGGGATGGGGGGACTGGGGTATGAACGGAGGCCTGCCACTTGCTAGCTATATAATTATAATATAGATATAATATATATATATATCATTGTATATAGATGTATATAGATGTACATTATACTGTAGATATACGAAATTGATCACGGTCTGAAGTTATAACCTTGCAATTAAGTGAGCTGCATCAGAGATATTCAGAGATCACAGAACTGGCAAAGAGGTGTCCAGCCAGCCAGCCAGCCAGCACGCGCCATCATGCACGCCCCCCAAACATTGCAGCACGGACACACACCGGTGTTTGGCCATCCATATGATTGGTGGTAGCATGTGAGACTGTTAGTAGAAGGTGATGCCCATCATTGTTGGCAATAAGGGTTTTACATCATTTAATTCCTCTATCTAATTCCCAATAGTATCAATGTTTTTCTTGGGATATATATATATATATAATTATATATATATAGAGTTAAGAGTAATTACACTTATGCCAGTTGTATATCATCCAAGTATGTCTAGCTTACTATCGTCACTATCATCCAACAAGATCCCATTTCTGACGCTATTAATGGCAATGACCTCACGGCGTCACTGAAATGATATCCTAAAATAGCAGAAGATTTGAAGCTAGTGACTTCTTGTAAACTACTGTATCCAGATTTATTTTGTGATATTTTGTGCCCCTTTCTGTGAATCACTATCATGCAATCGGCTTTTACCCGCACATTTCATTGTCTATGGTCATTTCCCCATTGAAAAAAATCAAGCAATGACTTGGAGTTTCCCATTTTCAGACACCCCAAATATCATATGTCATCGTTAGCTATATCGCCATCATTATACTATTCCCCCATTGTGCTTGGTATAATCCAATGATATTATGATATCCCATGAATATTTGTGTTTGCTGATTTTGCTGCTTCCCATCACCTCATCGGCAGGTCAGATGTCTCGCAATGAACAGTGATGGCACGCTGTTGGCCAGTGCATCCAACGATCTCACGGTCACTGGCTGGAACTGGCTGGAAATGTTCGGATTTTTCCCTGTTGACAAGTGATTTTAACCAGTTTGGATAAGACAAATTCATGTACAGTCTGTACAGTGTGGTATTTGGTTGTGTTTGGTGGGAGTTGATGTGCTTTTTTCTGTGATTTCGTCTTGTTTTGGATTTCCCGTTGGGACTATTGGGGGAAAGTACAAGGAACACGTTTATTTTTGGGATCCCGCAATGAGAGATGAAAAGGGCCGAGGGGTCAGAACGGTGTTGGCCAGTCGTTGCAGAGGCAGCCGAAAGGATTTAGTGCCCAAACCCAGTTGGGGACCCCCAATCCCACCAATCCCCAAAAATCGCCACTTGGGAATTAAAATCTGTTAAACTCCATTTTCAATATTTTCAGACCCCCGTTCTGATGGCTAGGTGAAAGTGTGGGATCTCACCCAAGACTGTCGTATGTTGCTGGAGCTCCTTGGACACAACAGTCCCATCTTCACGGTGGACCTCGAGAGCGAGCAGCTGATCTCAGGCGACAAGGACGAAGCGATCGTTTGGAGCCTGGCGGATGGCAACATCTTGAGGCGCTGCGTGATTCGAGGAAATCAGACCTGAACCCGAGAATATGCCACCAATTTTGGAGGGTTTATACATGTGCAGTGTTTATACCACTTTTCTGGTGATATTCGAGTCGCTTCGCGACGAGAACCGCCCGCGCCCAAGGGATAGAGAGGAAAGAACGTAACTTGCGCCGAACTCGGGCCAGTTGGCTCCAACTTGGGCCCAACTTGGGCACGACTTGAGCCCAACATGGCGCAACTTGGGCAGGTTTGGGCGCAAGTTGGGCTTAACATGTGCAACTTGGTCCTGTGTGCGAACATCTGGCGCCGAAGTTGGGCCCTTAATCAGCCCAAGCATTCACATTTGGAAGGGGGTCATCCCATTATATCCAGCTATATCCCCATGCTTGTTGGTGTTATATCTAATATATTTCAATTTTTCTTGCTTAAATCTACGTTAAAACCTGTTCAATTTCTGGGGGGTTACGCTCCCATGAAAATACAACAAAAAGATCATTGAAATCCGGCAAAATCCCATTGAATTCCCATGATATACCACCTGAATATCCCATGCATTTCAGGAAAACACCTCCATTTCTGGATTTCCAGATGAATTTTCCTATATACAAATATATATATATATAATATATAATATTATATATACTATAATATATATATATATATCACACATATATATATATATCCCAAAAACATCATAAAGCATCCATTGCCCATGGATTTCCGGCAGGCGCTGGGCCGCTTTTGACAGCCAGCTGAGCGTGGTGCGTCAGATCCACCGCGACAGCTCCGGCGAGGTGGCCATCGCGGCCGGTACGGAGGCGGAAGTTGGGGAGCAAACATGGGGGTATCTATATGATATATATAGTTGTATGATATATGCATATATTATGGTATATATATATATACATGATATATGTATATATATATGTTTAAATATGATATATATATATATATATATACAATTTTATACATATGATGGATATAATATGTTTACAACTTTACACATATCATATGATATATATATATATTTATGATGAGAGCGCAGAGCGCCCCTTAACCACGCGCAGGTGTGCTGTTTACCACGCGCACTCAAGTCTTTGACCACGCGCATGGCAGTTCTTGAGCACGTGCGACAAATTTTGGGCTTAACCGCGCGCAGAAAGGGCTTCTAACTACGCGCGGATAAGATCATTTTGAACCACAAACGGTTGAAATCTCTGAGATGAAAAGACCTGGATCGCAGAGATCTATGATTGTCGCAGACCTCATGTAGTTTAGCCTACCATCCCTTTGCTATATCTTTCACGTGAATGCGCATCTGAGTTCCGTTTGTGAGCCATTTTTGGCACCGACTGAAATATAAAAACAAATCGGCGCTGTTTTTTCATCTCACGTTCCATGACAGCAGATGTGAATGCGAGTATTCAGCTTTTTGTCTATCTTCCCCATCATGAGATTTCGAAGCCAACATTTGAGAAACGATCGAACATGCAAGCGACCTCATTGCCAATCAACCGTTGGCATTGCCGGCTCGTGGATAGACAAGATGTCTCTGCCGATGCCGCATGTAATGTGAGAGATTTTGCCAAGAGACCTCTTACAGAGATCTTGCCAGCAGAGCTCTTACAGAGATTTTGTACAGAGATCTTGCCAGGACACCTCTTACGGAGATATTGTACAGAGACATTGCATAGAGATCTGCCGCGGAGATCTTGCCAAGAGGTCTCTTACATAAATCTTGCCAAGAGAACTCTTCTAGAGAGCTTGCACAGAGGTTTCAAAAAGAGGCCTTGTACAGAGACATTGCATAGAAATCTGTTGAGATCTGCCAAGTGGTCTTTTACAGAAATCTTGCCAAGAGAGCTTTTGTACAGAGCTTGTATTGTACAGGGATCTCATAAAGAGATGTTGCCAAGAGATCTCTTCTACAGATCTTGTCGGGGAGGTCTTGCCAAGAGATCTCTTATAGAGATCTTGTTCAGAGATTTGGCCAAGAGACCTCTTACAGAGATCTTGCCAAGAGGTCTCTTACAGAGATCTTGTACAGAGATCTTGCCAGGAGACCTCTTATGGAGATCTTGTACAGAGACCTGGTGAAGAGAGCCGAGGTCTTGCTCGGAGATCGTTTATAGATAGCTTGAACAGAGATCTTACTTTGACTCAATAGAAAAAGAATACAGGAAATTTTGCAGGAAACTAATTTTGGATAAAAATGGATAAGTTGCGGAAAATCATGTGTTTTGTAATAAGATGTAGTAAGTAGTGGTTACTGGTTTTGATTTCCATTAAAAAATCAATTAGCAGGCCGCTCGAAAAGGAGCAACTGGTTCACTTGTGGTGTTTTTTGCAAACGTTTTTTTTTTTAAATCCATGTGTAAATTTGATACACAAGGTCCTTGATCATTTCTTTGCTTTATTGCGTGTCCCGTGCGCAAAAATGCCCGAATTGCAATGCATTTGCATGTGCATTAAAGTTTGAAATTTTCGGACACTTTTGGAACAAGTTTTGACAATAATTGATTAAACATGTGTAACCATATTCAATAAATTACTCAAAATATCTCAAAATTAACCAACATGCAACCGATTTGTTTCAAATCTACCAAATTGAGCATTTAACCAATTTTAACCAAATTTTAATCGAATTTAACGAAAATTGTTTTCCCGAAACCCAACCTGCAACTAACTGACGCATTTCCTACAATTCCCAAAATTTGTGAGAATTTACCTCCTCAAAACAATTTTTCGATGGAAAACTTGGATTTTTTCCTTGCGTTTGTCTCCAATTGAACTGAGATAATTGGTGTGCCTTGGGCGTGCTTGCAATATTCTGCAATCAACTTTCGTAGGTGTTTGCGGTTAGGAAACGGTGTCAAGATGGTCAGGGGGTTGCATACTTTTTCTATGTGCGCATGTTTGCACAGTTCCCACGTTGTGCTATTTTTGTCCGTGCCAAAAAAATATAGAATTTGTGTATTTTCCAAACCTGATGCACCTTTAAGAACGGTTCAGTGGGATGGAGTGTGCTTGGCACAATCTTGTTCCTGCCTAGTTCCTGAAGTCTCGAAACATGCTAAATTTATGATAATATATCAGAAAATATTGCAATTTAATTTCGTTCATTTAATCGAATTTATATTCCTGCAAATTTTCCCTCAATCCATTTGAGATCCCTTACCAAGATCTTCTGTGGAGATCTGCTATAGACACCTTGAACAGATAGCTTTACACAGGGATCTTGCACAGCAGCTTCTACAGAGAACCTGTCAAGGAGATATTGCGCACGATCTTCTACAGAGATCTTGACAAAGGGAACTTGCAGAATCTTACCTGGTATCTCTTCTTTTCACTACTAGGGTCGCTCTGTCTTGCTAGCTTTCAGCCACTGATGGTTTTCGGTCCTTTCCACCTTTCCCTTTAGAATCCTAACTACACACTGTTTGGGGTCTCTTGCCGGGATACTGATCATTTTTTTGCAAGTCCACCATTGTCACATCTTCAGCCCGATGGTGTTGTCAGTACTTGGACCTGACATCGTCATTGTCATCGAGCCATCGGGGCATCGAGTCGTCATCGTCATCGTCATCATCATCATCAGCAACAACATCATCAACAAAGCTGTCAGTTTCGAAAAAAAACGATTGCCATGGTTGTTTGGGCTCTACTGAGCAGGTTCATTTGGCCTCCATCAGCAGTTCCAGATCTTTGGCTGCAGAGACTGTTGAACTTCAGGAAATGTCGCAGCTGACAACTGGAGATGGCAAATTTGAAAATTTTCGTTCTTCCCTGAGAAAACGCCCATGATTCGAGTTGGAGGAAACCGAATTGAAGAGTTTTAAGGCTGATTCAAGCTTTATTCAAACAAAGTGATGGAACACCAACGAATGTTGAATCATGTTGAATCGAAGTCGGAAGATTCGGAAGGCTCTCAAGTGTCAGTGTTGGGTCCACCATGTTCCACCTGGAACGACAGTTGTCATCCCAATCCACCTCCAGTGACTCTAGTGCCTCCATCGTACCCATTCTCAGGCTTCAAGAGTGTGAAACTATCACATGAAGCAAGAGTTGCTGCCGTGCACTCTGTGCCATTTCCAGAGAAAACTGGCAACTTGCTGCAGGGAGTTGGTGGAAATCCATGGAAATCCAACAGTTGTTGTACCGTTGTACCTTGATTTTGGCTAAGACATCAAGGGCAACTTTGTGGAGGTTTTAAGTGTGTCTATAGATGCAGATGGTCCCTGAAGTTCCACCCTGAGTTCCACCCTGTTTCACCCCTTGATCGTGACTAGCACATGACACATTCTCTACAAATTCCTTGGGACAGAGCAAGTTCTCAAGGTTTGGTTTAATGAAATTTGAAGAAAATCTGCCTGACATCCAGCCCCTGGAGGTGACTTCTTGATGGCATGTGGATGTGTTGACGCACATGTGGTCCTCTGGAAATTGTCTGCGATCTCAAAGGGATCCAAAGTTAAGAGCCTCGGCTGGTGGATCGGTGGATTTTGGAGATTGACTGTGGCCTTCAGGACAGAGGATTGCACTTTGGATGTTTTTCGACCGCAGAATATGATTTGGTAATCAAATACACATCCCCAATTTTGCCCGAAATAGTTGGTATATTATGTATATTAAACCGTCCCCACCTTGAAGTTTATCATTGGGTTTACTATTACCACATTGATTACCCTCTGGTAATTTAACATAACTATGGAAAATCACCATTTTTGATGGGAAAATCCACTATAAATGGCCATTTTCCATAGCTATGTCAGTCATTACCAGAGGGTAGCGATGACGGAATAAAACACGCATGGTTAGTCCTCCGCGGAGCTGCTAAGGACAGCCCCGGAGTTTACCCCCACAATGCTGTCCAGATTTAGCGCTGGAGAACAAGATGTCCGCGCCGCTTGGGCAATTTTTTGAAAGTTAGGGAAACTTAGAGACCCCAGAATATGTATATATATAATGATGTCCAAATCTAATTATGATATATATATATATAATTATATAAAATTATATATACATATAATATCCATCCATCCATTCATCCATCTATCTATATATCAATCAACTTTGGTTGTTTCATGGTGTGCTCTGAGATGCCCAGTTGTATCGGTCAAAGTGGTCCCACTGGGCTCAGGCCATATGTTTCAGTGGAAAGGGTGACCTTCTGGCAGCAGGCGGCACTGGAGTTCAGGGATCCGGGCGCCCAAGATATGCAAAATGATGATTCGGACTTCGGACCAAACCGTTTGACCAAACCTTTGGAAAGCACCTGGAGACTTGAAGCCTGGGCTCCGCGAAAGCTCTCATGTTTTGATTGGAGGATGCCACCCTCTGCTACAATTGGATCAAACAGGATTGAATCTGCTGGTTTTGACACACACACACCATCCTACAAACCCACGTTTGAAACACAAAAAAATCAGGCAACGACGACAGCACGCTTCGAGTTTTCCACGTCACCATTGCGAAGAACTCTGAAGTATCTGTGCAGTCATTGTGTGCAGCCAACCTGCACACCGACTGGATACATTCGGTGTCTTGACTTAGTGTATTGGGTGCATAAGAACTTGCCCTTGCTGTGCAATGAAATCGCCTGCTCTCCTTTGGCCCAGGTTAGTATGGCTGCAACTGGCGCACTCGTGGCATCTGGATCAGACGACAATTCCATCTCCCTCTACGCTTCTTGGCCTCCCAGTGATGCCGAGTGTTTTTGTTGGCTCAGGAAGAAACCTGGTATGTTCTTGAATCTTTTGGAAGGGTCTACATGGTCTACGAATATGCATTGATCTCGCCGCAACTACTTGAACTTGAGTGATTACGGTATATTGTTGTGATACTAGGCTATGATCCGCTGGTGAGAAACAAAAGGTCTTTAGCAGCACTTGTTCCGTGCATCAATCAGAAGCTATGGCAGTGTGAGTCTGATAGGTAGCCCCACATGTGAAATTAGAGATTACTGAGATTTCTCCTCTTTACGGCCCGCCTCCCCCATCAGCTGTTCAGTTTTGAAAATGTCATACTGGGAAGATGTTGAACGTTTCTCACCACAGCCATCGGAAGTTCTTTCCTTATTTGTTTCTCAACATGCAAACATACGTAGTGCATCGTACCTGGTAGTGCCTGCAAGGTCCGAATCTCCGTTCCATATGTTGCTGTGGGTACCCTCTGGTAAACTAACATAACTATGGAAAATCACCATTTTTAGTGGGAAAACTCACTATAAATGGTGATTTTCAATAGCTATGTTAGTTTACCAGAGGGTATGTTAAATGTGGGGTGTTGGTTTATGAATCTTGATTGAAATTGATGGTATACCGAAGTGATTCGATGAGTCAGGATGTGAAGAAACAGCAGCGTGCGGGCATCGTCAAGATCTTCTCTGGTGCATTCTCCGTACCTTGCTTTTGCTTGAACTGGCTCATTTATTAAAGTTGTTTGCTGTGCAGTTCAATATAGTTCAGTTGTGTGTCTCATTATTTTTTCAGTTTTCAAAGTCTCCCCTTTTTTCCCATTGCAGGTGGTTCTGTCACCCAATTCCAACTGGCTATTCTCAGCGAGCGGGGACATTCGGGTCTGGAGTGTGCCCAAAATGCTCCAGCAGATGCAAAGCGAAGCCATGTCCCGAAGGCATTGCTGTGCTATCGCTGGACTAACGATGAACAAAGACGGCTCCAAAGCCGTTGCTGTGTCGCCAGATCAAAGTGATGGCAAACCCAACGGAGGCTTGCAGCTGAGCATTTGGGAGACTTGGCGAACATGAGGGGCATGTTTCACATTTGGCAGTTGTTGATGGAGGGCCATTTATTTAGGGATTTTTTTTTTTTAGTTTAGGGATTTTTTTTTGGATTTCTTCCTGCTTACTCTATTGCCTCCTGCAGTGCTTCTCTGCTTCTTTGCTTCTATTCCTTTTTTTGTTTTTTTTACTTTTCTTTGCTTTTTTGCTTTTTTGCTTCCCTTGCTTTTCTTTGCTTTTTTGCTTTTTTGCTTTTCTCGCTTTTCTGCTTTTCTTTGCTTTTTTGCTTTTCTTGCTTTTCTTTGCTTTTTTGCTTTTTTGCTTTCCTTGCTTTTCTTTGCTTTTTTGCTTTTCTCGCTTTTCTGCTTTTCTTTGCTTTTTTGCTTTTCTTGCTTTTCTTTGCTTTTTTGCTTTTTTGCTTTTCTTTGCTTTTTTGCTTTTCCATGAGGTGTGGAGCAACATCTTCTATCCATCTATATCCATCTATATCTATCTATATCTATCTATATCTACGTATCTATATCTATCTATGTCTATCTATATCTGTATCTATATCTACATCTATGGCTGTATCTATATATCTATATACCTATATATATATATATCATATATCTATATAATTATCTATATATCTATATATCTCTATATATATATATATCTATATATATATATCTATATATCTATATATATCTCTATATATCTCTATATATATATATATCTATATATTTCTATATATCTCTATATATATATATATATCTATATCTAGATATCTATATACATATATATCTATCTATCTATATATCTATCTACCTATCTACCTATCTATCTATCTATCTATCTATCTAATTATCTATCTATCTATCTATCTATCTATCTATCTATCTATCTATCTATCTATCTATCTATCTATCTATCTATCTATCTATCTATCTATCTATCTATCTATCTATCTATCTATCTATCTATCTATCTATCTATCTATCTATCTATCTATACATATCTATCTATATATCTATATATCTATATCTCTCTCTATATATATACTATATATCTATATATATCTATATATATATATCTCTATATATCTATATCTCTCTCTCTCTCTCTATATATATATATTTATATATACCACCATATATCTATATATCTGTATATATCTATCTATATTTCTATATGTATATATACATATATCTTTATATCTATATATCTTTAAATATATATATCTATTTATCTATATATCTATATCTATATATATATATATCTGTATATATATATATATCTACCTAAAAGGTTTGCATTATCATGCGGATGATATTCAAACCCCAAGCCAACCCTGAACCAAACCTTATATAAATAGATCTTAAACCAACTCGATGATAACATCAAATGAAACTATTGTGCATCGTTGTGCCTTAACCTACATTCCACATGTTTCCAAGGTGCATGTCGTGTAGTATATACACCTTGAGTATCACATTCAACCTAGCACCTTGCATGTGAAAATAGGTGTTTCCAATCTGCTTTGGGGGGGAGGCGCTGCGCCGTCCCCCCCAATCCCCCCCTCCCGCTTTTTTTTATTTAAATTCAAGCTTGCACACATTTCAATACACTACTTTGGTTAGAATATATATATATATATACATTGTATATATATATATATATATTGTATATATATATTATATATATATATTGTATATATATATTGTATATATATATAACAACACTAACACTAGCAACACTAACAACATTAACGGTAACAACAACAACAACAACAACAACACCAACAACAACACCAACAACAACAACACCACCAACACCAACACCAACAACAGTAACAGTAACAACAAACAACTGTTGGAATGTCAGCCTTCAGCTCCAAAATCCTGCAAGTACTGTGAGGAATGTAGCTGTAAAATGTTGCACATACGGTGGAAATGCAGATTCCAGCTCAAAAATGTTGCAAAGAGCATGGAAAATGGACAGAACATGCTGCAAACTGTTGCAAATACCGTGGAAAATACAATGGAAAATGAGAGGTTCGAACTCAAAACCGTTGCACATACCGTGGAAATGGCAGTTTCCAGCTCCAAAATGCTGCAAATAGCATAGAAAATGGTGAGAACCGGAAATCCAAAAAAAATTCCCCAAACTAAAAAAAAAAAAATCCCCAAACAATTTCCTACCCGTTGTTGATTAAAACATATCGAGAGATTCTATACCACAGGTAAACATATATATATATATATTTGATTATATTTGTACATGAATTACAGACTAACTTGGTATCAATTACTTTGCGAACTATCAATCAACTCATTTCAAGTGTAACTTGAACGCAACATGCCATGGGATTTTGCGTTCGATCTGCAGATCCCCAGTTTTGAGGATGCAGAAGGAGCTACTCAACAGTCCTTCATCACAGTACCTGGATCGATGCTGGGCGCCAACATGATCGATGGGTCACCCATTTGGCACCAACAAAAAATAACAAAACGGGCTATAAAATAGCCATAAATCCAGGAACATCGTGGAGTGAATGGGCAATGACTTGGCAATGACCAATGAGCAATCTTTTTTTTGGTGGGCATTCTTTCCATGCTAATTATTCTTTATAAAGAACTCATGAGCAATACTTGCAGAGTGAAAACCACGTTTTATAAGGCTAGTCGGGCGGACACATGGTGCAGGCGTATGCTAGTTCAGACTGGTTGACCTCGTTTCGTTCTTTGTATTCTGAGTTGGGGGTTGATTTGATTTGGAACACTTTCCGCATAATTCAAACCACAAACTGCATTGTCTCTGCGTGTCACCACCATCTCTCTCTCTCTCTCTCTCTCTCTCTCGCTCTAGAAATTAACATGACGTTGGGACCTCAGGAGTTGATAGAATTCAAAAGACTTGAACAAAAGACAAAAGATAAAAAATATCAAAAGATACATAAGTAAAGCCTGGCGAAGCTTGCCAGGAAAGAAGATGATGACCGTCCTCTTTGCATCTGTGTAAGTCCAGATGGCTTGACTGCAGCCGTGGGATGCGACACAGGGAAACTATGGTTTCTGCGTACCGAAGATGGATGCTCAGCAGAAGCCGAAGTGGGGGTTCGAGGATATCCAGGCAATGTTCAACTGTCGTTTGAAGCCATAATAGTACTGCAGCTTCATTAGATTTAAATCATATACTACAGGTATTGTCAATATCTGTCAACAAAGGAATCCTCAATTGGCCGTGAACTCATCAATCATCTGGCATCAAAATTAGCGGCAAAGCTTCTCTCCAAGCTGCGGTGCACAAATCGCCTGCTCCATGGCCTCGTCGTTAGGCAAGACGCTGTGGGAAATGAACGAAGCACACAGTGAACGGATCTTCTGTTGCGAGTGGTTAGAAGATGATTCCGTTGCCACCGGAAGTGAGGACGCAGGGGAAAGCTTGCCGCGCTTGCGGTCCGGAATTTTCAAGGTGGCGATAGCTTCCCCTTGCTTCTTACTTCCCGCGGTAGAAAATACATGAAACTACTGTTCTTAAACCTTGGCCCAAGAGACGTCAAGAAAGGATGACAATAATTTCAAAATTTGTTTAACAATCCAAGCCCCAAGAAAAATATCAAGAAATAATAAGAATAAGAATAATGGTAGGAATTGATGGAATTTGGATTTAATTTTATTGTTTCATACACTATACCAGATGGAAAATTGGAGAAAAATTGGACGGTTCAGGATTGAAAATTACTGGAGTATGCAGTATTGCAATTACGCTACTCAAGTGCAGGCAAATGCCAAAACATGCCAAAACGGATACCCTCTGGTAATTTAACATAGCTATTGAAAATCACCATTTTTAATGGGAAAATCCACTATTAATGGTCATTTTCCATAGCTACACCAGAGGGTACCCTGAAAATTGAATCTCTCGTATTCAACCCCAGACCACCTGGTCCATCTGGCGGACTTTTCCAGGACGGCCGCGTCTGCTGTTGGTCTCTGATGCATCACTGCTGCAGCGCCGCCGCGCGGCCGTACGACGCGGGGCTGAGGTGCTTCGCCTGGACCAACGACCGACAGAGGGTGCTGTGCGGAGGAGGGGGAGGGAGATCGATTAAGATGTGACATGATATGGGGGTTTCTGGGTTTCTGAACATGAGGGATCCCCAAGACATCCCAAGACCATGGGTTTCAAATGGTGGAATCAGTTTGTCCATGGGATATTATGCCAAGTGAAGTTGTATTTTTGAATATTTTTGATGTCGACTCAGGTTACTAAATTCCAGACCACACTTGCCAACCATCATTAAGTTTCACTAGTTTCACTGAAAGTTTGCAACACCGAAAAGTCACAAGAGGTCATCAGACCCAGGAGACTACCAATCTCCGCGTTTGGTGCACCTCGGCGGAGCAGATGAAGATGGCTACCTGCTCATGGAGTACAAGGACATCATTCGACAGGCGAGGTTCACTCAGCGGGATCTGTGGCAGAGATTCATCCAACTAACATCAACTTGGTACCCACCGCAACCAGCTTTCGCAGGCCGTCACAATCCTGGGTTGGATCAAAATATTTCGAGACCCGCACATTTAATCAGCCTTGACTTGATGGCTTCGTACAGAGTCCCGACAGAATCGAATGGTTTTGATGTTCTGAACGGTGCTGGGTCAAAAATTGACAAGCGAGTGCATGCTTGTGGCCTCATTCTAGTTGGGTCATGTCCCCATTTCAGACGAACCCCAAAACATTTATAAAATAACCAGTCCCCATATAATCCCATATATCTCTTAGTCAGAAATCGATAATTTTGGACCAGTCCCACGTCCCCATTTTCTATTGCCTACCAGTCATCCAGACATTTTTTCACAGAAGATTTTCGCATAAACTTCCCAGCCATAAAGCATCATAAAGCATCATAAACCTCCATTGATTCAGGGATATCCTAATTTTCCTAGCCATCCTTTGACGGTTTGACCAGGAGCTGACAGTGAGCACCTCCTGTAGCATCTCTTTGAGCTCGGATGACCTGAAAGCCGTGACCTGCAGCTGGGATAAGGTGGGGATTCAACGTTTTTCACGGACGGTGGAACCATTGGAAAACACGGGGGAAGTCTCCAACTGAAACTTGGGATTCTGGTGGGTTTGCGATGTTTTCGGAAAATCTATCACAAGTTAGATTTTCGATCCATCAAAGGTATTCAGAGGTATTCAAAGGTAATTTCAGATTGAATCACGCCTAAAAATGGTGATGTATATAATGATATGTGGGATAATTATATAGTGGGGATATAAAGAATATAAACCTTGGCTACAACACCAACAATATGGTAGTTAGGCCGTTGGGACAGTGAAGATCTCCCCTGGTCCAAATATGTCGGAGCTGTGCAGGCCTTGCGAGTTTGGGATGTCGACTCGGGAGAACTGTTGCTGGTGGTGACCCAGGTGGGGTTGACAGCTGCTTTGATTAAAGCTGCTTTTAAGCTGCTGGCTGTTGACAAAAGTCCGGAACCTCAAACTTGTTCATCCTACTCGAATCTACTCGAATTTCCGCTTTTCTTTTCTTGGAACATTGGAACCCTGATTTTCAAAGCAGAGTTGCCAAAGTCTCTCGGCTCATAGAGACTTGGGCTGAAGCAGCCTGCAGGTGTCGGACTGGGTTGTGAAAGGCTTTGGAGCTACACTTGCAGGTAGGGGACCTTAACTTTGAATCCACATTTTTTTGGCTGTCACCAGAGGTATTTGCAGATCAGTCCACTGGTGAAGATGAACGTAGGTAGCCATTACTTAAAGGAACTGCATTTTTTTTCACTCAGCGCTGGTGTTTTTTTCCCATTCCCAAATATATAATTGGTTAAAGCCCATTATTAACCACTATTAACCACTATTAACGACTATTAACCACTATTATCCATAGCACAAGTTGAGGTGACTGCGCTTGTCTTTGTGTCGGACACCAAGTGTGCTTCAGGGGCTCTAGAGATCTCGAATCTGAAGATGGTAGTACTGCAATGTACTGAACAGTTGGTGCCTCAACGAGAGATTTCGTTGCTCTGAAAAAAACATAATTACTATTATTATATTACATTATATTACATGATATTACATTATATTACATGATATTACATTATATTACATTATATTACATTATATTACATTATATTACATTATGTTACATTATATTACATTATATTACATTATATTACATTATATTACATTATATTACATTATGTTACATTATATTACATTATGTTACATTATATTACATTATGTTACATTATATTACATTATATTACATTATATCACATTATATTACATTATATTACATTATATTACATTATATTACATTATATTACATTATATTACATTATATTACATTATATTACATTATCAAAGGAAGTTTAGGGGGAGAAACTTCCGTGTTACGGACTTTTAGAATGTCAGGGAAAGAGTTAGTCAAAGAAACAGTTAGTCAAAGAAACAGTTAGTCAAAGAAAGAGTTAGTCAAAGAAAGAGTTAGTCAAAGAAACAGTTAGTCAAAAAAACAGTTAGTCAAAGAAACAGTTAGTCAAAGAAACAGTTAGTCAAAGAAAGAGTTAGTCAAAGAAAGAGTTAGTCAAAGAAACAGTTAGTCAAAGAAACAGTTAGTCAAAGAAACAGTTAGTCAAAGAAAGAGTTAGTCAAAGTCAAAGAACAGTTAGTCAAAGAAACAGTTAGTCAAAGAAAGAGTTAGTCAAAGAAAGAGTTAGTCAAAGAAACAGTTAGTCAAAGAAACAGTTAGTCAAAGAAACAGTTAGTCAAAGAAACAGTTAGTCAAAGAAAGAGTTAGTCAAAGAAAGAGTTAGTCAAAGAAACAGTTAGTCAAAGAAACAGTTAGTCAAAGAAAAGTTAGTCAGTCAAAGAAACAGTTAGTCAAAGAAACAGTTAGTCAAAGAAACAGTTAGTCAAAGAAAGAGTGAGTCAAAGAAACAGTTAGTCAAAGAAACAGTTAGTCAAAGAAAGAGTTAGTAAAAGAAAGAGTCAGTCAAAGCAACAGTTAGTCAAAGAAAGAGTTAGTTAAAGAAAGAGTTAGTCAAAGAAACAGTTAGTCAAAGAAAGAGTTAGTCAAAGAAAGAGTTAGTGAAAGAAACAGTTAGTCAAAGAAAGAGTTAGTCAAAGAAAGAGTTAGTCAAAGAAACAGTTAGTCAAAGAAAGAGTTAGTCAAAGAAAGAGTTAGTCAAAGAAACAGTTAGTCAAAGAAACAGTTAGTCAAAGAAACAGTTAGTCAAAGAAACAGTTAGTTAAAGAAAGAGGTAGTCAAAGAAAGAGTTAGTGGAAAGAGTTGGTGAGGGAAAGAGTTAGTCAAAGAAAGAGTTAGTGAGGGAAAGAGTTAGTCAGGGCATTGTGATTTGCAACTGTAGGATCGTTCCCGCAATGTAAATGGGATTGCAAGTGGTGCTGGTGGAGGAGTTGCCGATGGAGTTTTGGAGGAAGTCTCGCACGAAATGCGTTTTTGAGAGATAGCAGATGCACGAAACCCTATGTTTTTCCATACAAAGTGCGTCCCCGAACCTCGATGATCTACCTCTGCGGTGCGACGGGTGCGAGACGGTCTCGTGTGTGGTTGGATCATGTCGATCATGTTCGGATCATGGGGCGGATCATGTCGGATCGGTTCCGCATTGTAAATGGGGTGTCAACTGTTTTTCGTGCATGTGTGGTCGACAGAATTCCATTGTGATTTGCAACTGTCGGATCGTTCCCGCATTGTAAATGGGATGCAAGTGGTGCTGGTGGATGAGTTGCCGATGGAATTCCATTGTGATTTGCAACTCTAGGATCGTTCCCTCACTGTAAATGGGATTGCAAGTGGTGCTGGTGGAGGAGTTGCCGATGGAGTTTTGAAGGAAGTCTCGCACGAAATGCGTTTTTGAGAGATAGCAGATGCACGAAACCCTATGTTTTTCCATACAAAGTCCGTCCCCGAACCTCGATGATCTACCTCTGCGGTGCGACGGGTGCGAGACGGTCTCGTGTGTGGTCGGATCATCCTCGGATCATGGTCGGATGGTCTCGGATCGGTTCCGCATTGTAAATGGGGTTTCAACTGTTTTTCGTGCATGTGTGGTCGACAGAATTCCATTGTGATTTGCAACTGTAGGATCGTTCCCGCATTGTAAATGGGATTGCAAGTGGTGCTGGTGGATGAGTTGCCGATGGAATTCCATTGTGATTTGCAACTTAGGATCGTTCCCTCATGTAAATGGGATTGCAAGTGGTGCTGGTGGAATGAGTTGCCGATGGAGTTTGAAGGAAGTCTCGCACGAAATGCGTTTTTGAGAAGATAGCAGATGCACGAAACCCTATGTTTTTCCATACAAAGTGCGTCCCCGAACCTCGATGATCTACCTCTGCGGTGCGACGGGTGCGAGACGGTCTCGTGTGTGGTCGGATCATGCTCGGATCATGTTCGGATCATTCTCGGATCGGTTCCGCATTGTAAATGGGGTGTCAACTGTTTTTCGTGCATGTGTGGTCGACAGAATTCCATTGTGATTTGCAACTGTAGGATCGTTCCCGCATTGTAAATGGGATGCAAGTGGTGCTGGTGGATGAGTTGCCGATGGAATTCCATTGTGATTTGCAACTCTAGGATCGTTCCCGCAATGTAAATGGGATTGCAAGTGGTGCTGGTGGAGGAGTTGCCGATGGAGTTTTGAAGGAAGTCTCGCACGAAATGCGTTTTTGAGAGATAGCAGATGCACGAAACCCTATGTTTTTCCATACAAAGTCCGTCCCCGAACCTCGATGATCTACCTCTGCGGTGCGACGGGTGCGAGACGGTCTCGTGTGTGGTCGGATCATCGGATATGCTCGGATCATGGCGGATCATGGTCGGATCGGTTCCGCATTGTAAATGGGGTTTCAACTGTTTTTCGTGCATGTGTGGTCGACAGAATTCCATTGTGATTTGCAACTGTAGGATCGTTCCCGCAATGTAAATGGGGTTGCAAGTGGTGCTGGTGGATGAGTTGCCGATGGAATTCCATTGTGATTTGCAACTCTAGGATCGTTCCCTCACTGTAAATGGGATTGCAAGTGGTGCTGGTGGAGGAGTTGCCGATGGAATTCCATTGTGCTTTGCAACTGTAGGATCGTTCCCGCAATGTAAATGGGATTGCAAGTGGTGCTGGTGGATGAGTTGCCGATGGAATTTCATTGTGATTTGCAACTCTAGGATCGTTCCCGCAATGTAAATGGGATTGCAAGTGGTGCTGGTGGATGAGTTGCCGATGGAATTCCATTGTGCTTTGCAACTGTAGGATCGTTCCCGCAGTGTAAATGGCTGCGTCAAGGTTGCTTCTTGCCACGGCTGCATGCGTAATACTATTGTCTTTTGCAGCTGGACTTCGTAAATCGTATTGGAGTGGCTGCATGAAGGCTGCGACAGTGATTTGTCAGCAGATTTTCTCCATTTTGGCGCTAGTAATTTTCCTTTAAAAATCCTTTTAAAAAGTGCTTCAAAATCGTCTTTTTTTCGCTCTGGCGTCGAGATCCGGTTTTGGAGCTACAATTTCCGACGCCGTTGCGCGTAGTTCTATTGTGTTTTGCAACTCAGTCTCTGCAGATCGCATTGTAATGGCTGCGTCAAGGTTGCTTGGTGCCGCGGCTGCATGCGTAATACTATTGTTTTTTGCAGCTGGACTTCGTAAATCGTATTGGAGTGGCTGCATGAAGGCTGCGACAGTGATTTGTCAGCAGATTTTCTCCATTTTGGCGCTAGTGATTTTCCTTCTAAAAATCCTTTTAAAAAGTGCTTCAAAATCGTCTTTTTTTCGCTCTGGCGTCGAGATCCGGTTTTGGACCTGCAATTTCCGACCCAGTTGCGCGTAGTTCTATTGTGTTTTGCAACTCAGTCTCCGCAGATCGCATTGTAATAGCTGCGTCAAGGTTGCTTCATGCTGAGGCTGCATGCGTAATACTATTGTCTTTTGCAGCTGGACTTCGTAAATCGTATTGGAGTGGCTGCATGAAGGCTGCGACAGTGATTTGTCAGCAGATTTCCTCCATTTTGGCGCTAGTAATTTTCCTTTTAAAAATCCTTTTAAAAAGTGCTTCAAAATCGTCTTTTTTTCGCTCTGGCGTCGAGATCCGGTTTTGGAGCTACAATTTTCCGACGCCGTTGCACGTAGGTTTAGAGCAGTGAAGTGTGGGGCGTGAAGAGTGCAGTGTGAAGTGTGCAGTGTGAAGGAAGCAGTGGGAAGTGAGAAGTGTGGAGTGTGAAGTTTAAGTTTGGAGTGTGAAGGAAGCAGTGAGAAGTGACAAGTGTGAAGTGTGGAGTGTGAAGTAATTCCATCGTTCGTGCGGTTGTATGTTGATAACCTCCATAAAATGACCACCGTGACTTTGATTAGTGTGACCATACCTGATGTGACTGTGACTGTGACTATTCTGATCATGACTACTGTGACCATAGATACTATGACAAAGACTACTTTGACAATGACCGTTGTGGCTGTAACTGTAGTGACAATGAGTATTGTAACTGTTTGGACTGGCCCCTTTTTAGGTAATGACAGTGGGAAGTAGAAGTGACGGCATTAGTGTCCCAAGAATAAATGACTAGAAACTGTGAAGTGTGGAGTGTGAAGTTTGGAGTGCAAAGAGTGCAGTGTGAAGTGTGGAGTGTGGAGTGTGAAGTGTGAAGTTTGGAGTGTGAAGGAAGCAGTGAGCAGTAAGAAGTGTGAAGTGTGGACTGTGAAGTGTGAAGTGTGAAATGTGGAATGTGAAGTGCGAAGTGAGTGTGAAGTGTGAAGTTTGGAGTGTGAAGGAAGCAGTGAGCAGTGAGAAGTGTGAAGTGTGGACTGTCAAGTGTGAAGTGTGAAATGTGGAGTGTGAAGTGCGAAGTGAGAAGTGTGAAGTGTGAAGTGTGGAGTGTGAAGTGCAAAGTGAGAAGTGTGAAGTGTGAGGTTTGGAGTGTGAAGTGTGGAGTGTGAAGTGTGGAGTGTGAAGTGCGAAGTGAGAAGTGTGAAGTGTGAAGTTTGGAGTGTGAAGGAAGCAGTGAGAAGTGAGAAGTGTGGACTGTGAAGTGCGAAGTGTGAAGTGTGGAGTGTGAAGTTTGGAGTGTGAAGGAAGCAGTGAGAAGTGTGGACTGTGGAGTGTGAAGTTTGGAGTGCGAAGAGTGAAGTGTGAAGTGTGGAGTGTGAAGACTTTGCTTCGTCTCTCGCTGAAAAAAAAAACCGCTTGTCGAGGGAAGGACACGCTCGGGACAGGCTGGCCTTGAACTATAGGTCATTTATTCTTGGGAAACTTCCGCCGCCGGCTTGCCCGGGTCTATGTTATTACATTATATTACATTATATTACATTATATTACATTATATTACATTATATTACATTATGTTACATTATATTACATTATATTACATTATGTTACATTATGTTACATTATATTACATTATATTACATTATGTTACATTATATTACATTATATTACATTATATTACATTATATTTCTATGTTTTCTTCATTTTTTCAGCACCTGTTTTTCATTCTTATCGTATTTACTCAACTCAAGGGTTCACCTTCCCTTCCACGAACTCCTCCACTGGCTACTGCTTGAGTAACAAAATCTTCAGCTTCCATGATTTACAGGGGGGGATAGCTACACTGCAACCAACCATAGCCAATGTTCCTAATGCAAACCACGAAGTTTCATAGATAATGTTCTTTAAACGCACATGACATTTAATATTTAATACACTTTTAATCAGTTTTATATACCATGTAATTTGGACCATTTACAACTGACTGTTCGTTACCATAGTCTTTCATGCAGTTTTTTTTTAGATGCTATAAATATGTGATATACTGTAAATGATACGACAGTTAGAGATGATAATTAAATGATGATATTCATACTTTCACCGTGATATGACATGGTATAAATCGTACGTGGCCGTCTGAGCTGCAGACCAATCTCTCCAGGTCTCCTACAGCTGGGATCGACAAGTCCAGTTGTGGAATCTGCCATGTCTTCGTGCGACATCCGGTACCAGCTTCAGCAACCACCATTGAGATGTCAATGGTAAACACCAGATACCGCCAGAGACCACTCTGTTTTTCGATTTCTTCAAAGCAGCGAAAAAGGGTGATACAAGGTGAGCAAGCCAAAACCCGCCGACTTGGTTGAAGAAACTGGGAACAGCATATCCGCAAAGCAGAGCTGATGCTACTAGAATGATCCAAAACGGATATGGGTCAGAATGATTCCCCTCTCAAAAGGGATGGTCTAATCCCAAACTGCCAATTTTGCGGGCCACCCCTGGCATCTCTCCGCGCCTGCAGAGGTACTTCGCAGAAGTCTCCCCTTCTGGTGGTTGATGCCCAAGATGCTCCACAACGACTGAGCTCCTGCCAGTGTCAGGGGGACCCAGAGTGAACGAAGAAACAACGACTTCGAAGACTCAGCCAATGTGTCAATTGAATCCCTTTTGGAACTTTTGCTCAAACATCCATGTCTTCATGATCCTTCAAGCTACAAACTTTCTCGATTCTGAAACATCAACACAGAATGAAGTGGTGATTTGAGATCAATGTTGCTCTTTTCTGTTCTACCTGCTTTGTCCCGGCACCTGCAGCGGTGGTTGAAGCAAGCAAATTTGGTCGCCACTAGACTCGCTACATCATGTCGCAAAAGCGCTTTTTGGACATGAAGACGTACATTGTTCAATACTGAATCCCTATACAGCCTATGCTAGTATAGCTGATCCATTTTATCTTCATGATTCATTTCAATGTTTTTCAATGATAATGAAGGAACTCACATTTCCGTTCATTTGAGTTTATTTGGGTATACGGTATATATATATATAATCCACCAATCACCATAAAACAAGACTGACAGTGATGGTATCCGTGTATCTTCCAGTTTTGGACGCATCTCCCTCTCGGTGGCTTCGTTCTAGGCGATGCCTCCTTGGTTCACATGGCATGCGCCCTGCGCTGGGAAGATGGAGTAAGGCTAGGGAGAAGACCATGGTCGATTGGTTGATGTTTCATCATTTTCCGCCAGAGAAAAGATGCCATGTTAATGGGGGAAAGGTGGTATAACACGGTGATAAACCAGGATATGCCATTGTTTTTTCAATTACAGTTGATGGTAATTAATAGGATGAGGATGAGGATGAGGATGATGATGATGATGATGATGAAGATGAAGGCATATTGTTTCCCAGTGGTTTATCATCACTTTCGTAGTCAGAATTGCCATAACAATGAGATAAACCCCCGCTGGATGATCCATGGGATGGTAACCTGGAAAGCTCGCCTGCGTCGCAGGCGGAACCTGGCGTTTTCGGATGAGGATGGAGGTGTGCACTTCTTCAAGGCGCGTGAAGCACTTTGCTCCAAATATCTCCAAATATTCCAGCGACCAAGTCATAGATTTAGCCATAGATTTAGAATCAATTTCCAGATTTAATCATAGATTTAGAATCGATTTCCATAGCATCCACAGCATCAAATGGTGGATTCCCATGGTGCTGTTTTGGGGGGACCTGGACCCCACAGGGCCAAAAAATCTCTCACGGCCATGGTCAGGTCCACCTCAAAGAAGTGACCAGCGGCACAGCGGCCACGAAAAAAAGGACTCGATGCATCTGCTGCCTTTCAATACACCCCACATGTTTTTAATATAGGCAGTATAGGACTATATGGAATCATCAGCTACTCAGGTTTTGTGGAAAAGTCCTGACCTTTTACCCTAAAACGCTTTGTAGAGGCGTTTCCGGTACATGGGGAGTTTTCATTGGGGGTAATTATCAGAAAGGAAAGAAATCAAATCCAAAGAGCTGAACCAACAGTCAACATTCACCAACAGGAACCAACAGAAATCAACATTGAGCAACCTTGAGCAACATTAATCAACAGCGATTATCATCAGTCAACATGAATATACATGAATTATGATTGGTACTTGAGTTGAAAAAGAGTGAGAGGCACATAGGATTGGCTCAACTTGGCTCAGACCGGCTGGGGTGATACCAGCACGGAGAAGCCATTGGCTGATTTGGATTATGTCGAGGCACCCGACTGCTGGTTACTGGTGAGCTGGCGAAGCGACTGTTGGTGGCTTCAAAACTATGCGATGCTGATTCCCACGGGACAGACACATTTTGAGCATGGGTAGCTCGACCAACAGCCAGCTTCATGTTGGTTGTATTTTCTCCATCTTTGCTGATTCATTTGTTATCATTTGTTCATTGGTTCAGTTAATACCATGTCGAAACCACTTGCTTTTGGTAATGATGATTGATGAATATTGATGAATATTGATGAATATTGATGAATATTGAAGAATATTGATGAATATTGATGAATATTGATGAATATTGATGAATAATTATTGATGAATAATATTGACGAATATTGACGAATATTGATGAACCATAAGCCAATTGACCAATGATTTATCATTAACCAGCCAATTCCTTCTTGCAGGTGACTGGCCTCTTTCAGCTGTCGGGCAAGCAGGTGCAAACGGGGATTTGACCAGGCCCGAAATAGAGATTGGATCAACTGGGTTTGTCCAGAAATTGGGTGATTTACCACAATTTATGGCCACATGGGCCACTGGGAAAATTCATGATTCACCATGAGATACCCACTGGGAGATCCCGCTAAATATATTTGGGCCTAAAACTGGCCGCCTGTTTACATTCCGCAATTGGTTTTTGTATGCTGCAAAGATTTAAGAATGGAATGTTCATGGAGCACACATTTCTCTATTGATTGACTGAACTAGTTCGTATGACAACAGCTGATACGTGCGCCAGCTAGGCGTAGAGTAGGGTGAATGACGTTTAGCTTTGCGCGTGACGATTTTGCTGCAGCCCCTTTTTTTGTTGTGTCATCGCATGAGCCGTTCGTTGGCAAACTTGCACAAGAGGGCCCTGTTCGAGACATGCTTGAAGCGATGGCATGTTGAATGTACACGATTCATGGATTCAAAGGCCACCAACAATAAGAGGAACAGCTTGGATAATTCCATTTCAGTACCAAAGTCTCTTTGTTTTTAAGCGATTGTTGTTTTACGGTGAAGATCATAGGGAGGTGATCCCTGTGAACGATTCAGACAGTGATAGCAAACCCCTGCTCTTGTACCCCCAAATAGTGTAGCCGTGAATGGGACAATCATGATTCACCAGTGGAACCGGGGTTGCCTATTTTCAGACCAAGCGGTACGCCCTTGTAAGGGATTAGCACTCCGAATTCGCCATGAGCAAGCAACGCAGCGGAAAGCTAGCACAAGACGATCACAGTTGGAGGCAAGGAGCCGCAGATATTTAAACGGATCTCGTTGTTTTCTTGTCGAGAGTGGATGCTTCATACCCCGACTGGCCACTATTCCTGGCTAGACTATTTTCAGTGAAAGTGGTTCTACTAAACATAGATAGATATGATATATAGATAGTCGACTTTCAAGGAACGATCCATATCCACCCAAAATGGTAGGACAGGAGATTTGTTTTTAGGTATGTATAACCACAGGTTGCGGCAGACAAGATTATATCGTTTGGTCTAGTCGCCAACGCATCTCTCACTCTTTGTCCCGGAAATGTCGTGAGTATTGAAGTTTCTAGTTGCTATTCTTTTTCCGCTCTGCACCTGTCTTTTTTTCGAGCATGAGATATCATATGACAATATTTTACTGACGCATCTCACAATTACAGTGCCAGGTGCATCTTTCAGAGCGCCTTGGAGGAGGCTTGGTGTCCCAAACTGGAGGCGCGAAACTGCTGCCATGGACCCATGGATATCATGTTTGGCACCACTGCCCTCTTCAGAGCTCCCCAGATTGAGAGATCTTGCCAGTTTCACTTCCATTTCTGGTGGCCGGAGGAAGCCATTCAGAAGTTGCCTCTGGAAGACATGGAGAGGCACGGTGGTCATCTTCCTGCGACCATCTGTAGGTTTCCTGAGTCATAGGGGATACCAAATGATACCAAAATCATTCAACATCATTGAAAATGGATCATGTTTGAATGGGGGAACCAATGGTTTGGGGTACACCGGTACACCTAATTTCAAGAGACACATTATTCAAACTGCATGTTTCTTTGACCCTGCGAGGGAATTGGTTCTGGAGCAGATCCACCACTTCAGAAAGAAGGTGCTCCTCTCTGTTGCTTGGCTGGAAAAGATCAGGTGGAGTACCACTACCCAAGAAAGTGGTCATTTTTGTATTGAACCATTTTTGAAAAAAAAAGCAATTTTGGGGCCATCTACTGTATCATTGTGTACCCAAATCAAAGCACAACTACCAACTTACCCTTTTTGAAACTTCCTTGGCTCCCACTTCTTGGGAGATCGGTGACCATGGCAACGCGAGGTGTTGAAGAGAAATTCGGCCGAGTTGAGAGCCTACCATGAGGAACACCCCGATGGCTTGCCGACGATCTTCAGCTCCTGGGCTATGGTGATCAATCAGCATGACATCATGACATCATTTCAGGCAAGATACCCTCTGGTAAACTAACATAGCTATTGAAAATGGTGATTTATAGTGGATTTTCCATTAAAAATTGCCATTTTCAATAGCTATGTTAAATTACCAGAGGGTAGAAGGAATGCTGAGGCTGCACAGCCGTGCACAGTTGCTGTTTGGAGAGTTACACACAAAAACATTGGCAGGATTCGACTCGGATAACACCACATGGCACAGTAGTAATGTAATAATATTTAATGGTGCTGAGGTCTTTTGGTGGAGCAGCCCAATCTATTCGAGCTTGTCAGCCAGCAGTGCGCCGGAGATTTTTGTCATGAACCTCTGTCATTCCCCTCGCATTTGATCTGGAAAGAAGTGGAAAAAATACCAGGAACAGAAATATCAGGAACACTGTGCACCTACACAATCGATGGTAGAAGCTGAAGCTTAATGGATTTTAATGGCCTTTCAAGCGCATTTCAAGCTGCAGCTTTTGGGGCGCTTCATGGTGTCCGACATGTTCCAAGATGAAACGCGGCTGACAGGGTCCTCAAAATACCCAACAAGTGGGGTGTATTTTACTGGCCATAGTTGGCCGCATGATATTTTACTGGCCATAGTTGGCCGCAGGAAAATACAGGAAACATGATGCGAGTGTAGATGCCAAGCCATATCCACCATCAAGTGTTGATGTATATATATATATATAATTATATATATATTTATTTTATAACGCAAAATGCTGCATTTTACTGGAAACAAACAAACAGTTTTGAAAACGAAAAATAAACAAACCCAAAAAACAAACCACAAACAATACAAAATGAAAAAAGCAAAAACGAAACAAATTGCGCCAGAGTGCTTTGTATTTGTTTCTTTTTCGTTTCTGTTTGGTTTTTTTTTCGCGTTCTTTTCCAAAGAAAAATGCAGATTTGGGATTCCGGAGTCTCCCGAGGAAAAAAAAGAAACAAAAAAGAAACAAATACAAAGCATTCTAGCGCAATTTGTTTCTTTTTTGTTTTTTCATTTTGTATTTTGTTGTGGTTTGTTTTTTGTTGTTTATCGTAAGCACACATATTTGAAGTTTCCCAATGAATGCATGTCTTTTGGTGTCTTAAGTATATAGGTTTGATAACAGCAGTCAACTTTATTTCTCGCCAGAGGTATCTCAACAATGCGAATGCCCGGCAAGTGGATGATGAGATGTCTGAGGGTATGATGAAGGTGCCTGGCCAAGACTAATTATGATCTCATACAGTGGGGTTTGCAACTCCACACTGCTTATTGATGTTGATGGCAGTTGTAACCTATGGCCTCCTATGGCCACAGTTTTGATAAAGTTGTTCCCCATGTATGATATTTATGCTGGGATATATGAGTGGCAATGTCGTTTCCCATCGTTGCCACAGCCAGGTTTTGCCCTATGTGAAACTGTTGCTGCAGTCTTTGAGGAGAGCGGAGCTGTGATCGACTGCCTGACACGCATTGCGTGGGAAGTCAGGAGTATGTCACTTTTTTTCATTTTCTATGGCAACATGGCTGCTGATGTGAGGGCCTGGTTTCAAGGAATCAAGCAGAGCTCCTTTCATCCAAGCAGTTTAGCCTCGGGGCATGGCCAATCTCATTGGTTCCTGGTCAGGACCCTGCCTCCAGAGTTCCACTACAAGGACCAGGCGGGGCAACGACTGTACAGCAGGCTCGACCCTGGACGCCGGTGGATGCCTGGCCAGGTGTATCGCGCTTTGTCGGATAGACACGACCATTTGGAACGTCGCTTCTATGCTGGCCGTCTTTTCTACAGGCAGCTCTGTGTTGCCCTCTGGTAAACTAACATAACTATAGAAAATCACCATTTTCAATGGGAAAATCCACTATAAATGGTCATTTTCAATAGCTATGTTAAATTACCAGAGGGTAATCTTGTGAGCACTGCTGAGTTCTGCCGAGTTTGCGGATGGGGAACTACTGTACTGACTGAAGATACTTTGTTCAGAAATCCATCATGGCTTTAAAGCACCGTGCTTGCCCGACACATGGCAGAAGAGGATGCAATACAATGAAATGAATAAACTATAGTAAGGACAATATAGGTCAATAATGACGAATACAGCGAATAGTTATATTATATGTGAATATATATAGTATCTTCTATTCTAGCTTGTTGTTTTCAACCCCAAAACAACCAAAAGCTGAAAAAAACATTCAAATCATTTTAATGATAATGGGCTTTCGGTGTTGCTGCGCTCCACCTTTCTTGACAGGTACGGCTTCAACTTCACGTCCAAGACCCCACCGCCGCCGAATGAGTCGATGGGCACGCTATGGCAGTCCCCCGCAGCATCGAGGGATGATGGGCCCCTGCCAGTTGAAGACCGGGTTACATTATAAATTTATAGATATTTATCGTCCCATCTCCCTAATATTGAACGCTCACCAAAATGAATGGATCATATCATGCTAAACCAGAAGTTTTGGGGGTAGCGTTCAATATCAGGGGAAATGGATCACACACACACACATATATATATATACATATTATATATATAATACGTATATATATAATATACATATTATATATGCATGTTTATCAACTGAGGTTATCTACCACTTTAAACGGGGTCATCCTAGTCATGACTAGGAGGGAAGCATCACTGTAGGGATCCAGCCGTGTGATTCGAACATGACCCAGTTACAGCCCTTTTGCGAACGCTGTTCTGAGGATCAACACGAATGGAGAGGCGTGGTGCTTCCTGCCTTGCGATAAACAGTCCATGGAGGTGTAATCCCATGGGATGCCAATGGGTTTTTATGATATTTTACATTATTTTGGCCAAATAATTTTACCCAAAATATCATTTACCCTTGGTATAAAATATATTTAACATTATATATATACCAAGCCGGTCCCTCCCTTTTGTTCCAGAAAAAACCCTACCATTGCCGAGCCCGCATGGCATGACCCACATGAGCCCAGTGTTTTCGCTGCGACTCAAGTGACTCCCGGCAGGCTTTCAATCTCTCATTCCTGATTCAGCGAGAGGAGGATGTCCTACTGCCTCCCCTCACATGTTTGGAGGCTCGGTAGCCAGGTTGTGGTGGAATCTACGATGTTGTTGTTTCTTCGGATGGAGTTTGCTTGGAGCCTTGTATCTTAAATGGATTTGATAAGTTGATATGATTTGATTTTGATCTCAAGACAGTTCTCCATGCGATCGCCACGTCTTTGCAGATCGTGATTCATATTGAACGGCTCAGATCCTTCCAGAGCTGCAGTCTCCAAAGCTGTGACGTAGTTCCACGTGCTCCTGGCAGGTCTTGTCTTGTCAGGCTGATGCTGCTGGTCCAGATGTGATTGCATTTCAGCAAGTGGGTCTTCCACAGACCTGCCCATTGGAAGGTGCCTTCAGGTTGTTTTTCCACGACGGATCCGTATCAGCATCGTGTCAAATCCACTCTGTTGCCAATTGCCAAGCCAATTTCTGCAAGAATTTGTTGACTTGACACTTGGTGGCCACTGTTGATTTTTCTCTTGCGTGGTGAAACTCTTAGATTGTCTTTTATGCAGTGAAATATGCAGGAGAGGAGCAACCACAATTTTTGCAAGCCTTGCTCACTGTAGACACTCGCGTTAAACACATGAGAAATCCACAAGCATATCACAGAAAATATTTAGCTCGAGGGTGATGTCTTGATGTGGCCGACACCTGCAGGTTGCGAGAAAGCAATTTCAGTGGAGGCTGGTGTTTTCGGGCCCCTGTGGACATGAACCATGCGAACTGGATCGAACTGGCAGGAATCCATGGTGGATTATGGTTGATGACAGATGCCAATGTCGTGGATGTTAATCCCATCTTTTTCTGCTTAAAGATCGCGGAGGCCGGAGCGGCGGTAAAAGACATGGTTCCCTCTACATATTTTTCCGAAGACAATCTATTGAGCGATGCATTCTCAATGTTTTGGTGAACAGGAGATGCCGGAACACCTGGCAACGCATTTCCATAGCTATTGGAACTACCAGAAGTTCTCCTCGCACCTCACCATTCAGGGCTTCGTTCCTGAGAAGGACTTCGGTTACATCGCACTCTTGATGGATAGACTGGGCACCAAACTCTTTCCATGGGACTGCTTGTCCTTATCGGGGAGTTTGAGGCGTTCTAGGTTGCACTTTTTAAGAGGCTCGAATTAGTTATTAGTTGAAGTCAAACTCGAACAAGCAATACAGCAATTCAGGTTTGAAAGTGCCATAGTGTAGTTGCAGTGTAGTAGTTGTCAAGTGTTGTCAAAATATAGCCATAATAATTGGGGTTATATCCCAACTTATGGACCTTATGTGGAATACCCCCCAACTGCACACTCAACTGTGTCATTGAAGACGTTTTCCTTCACAAAAACTCCACAGCCCTATCAGCCCTTCGGTGTTTCAGGAGCTTCGGGTGCTGGTGTCCATGCTGAAGCAACCTGGCACCAAACGTGGAGTTTCACTCTACTTGGGGGTGCAGTTCCAGTGAGGTAAGTGGTTACATCATGTTATATCCCAACTAAACATACGAAGTTGTAGAGTTTAATAATGTTTAATACACACATAATCAATCATAATCACATATATACATATAATATTTTTTTACCGGTAATTTATATTTATACATATGTACCCCAGCTTATGGAGGTTATCACCATGACTATATAATATATATATATATGTATTATACACACACACTGTATAGACATATATACATAACTCATACATAATGTCATATATATATATAGTATATATATATATTATAGTATTGTAAACATTGATATGCCATGATATGCCCAACTGCACCCCCAAGTAGCAGACTCTAGACATGGACTGCTCCTGTGACTTATTAGGGCAAGAACGTTTTTTGGAAATTGGGATGTGTAACGAAAATCTCACGGCAGCACAGTACCTGAATTGATTTGGCCATCACAAAATCAGCATTCAGAGACTCTGTGCTGCCGTCCATGTTCCAAAATCGCAACCCCCTGATGTCCCGAATTCGCAACCCTCTGAAATCCTCCAAAACATATCGGTTCCTTGAGCGAATTTGGCCCCCCACAGTGTTCCCCCCAACATTTGATCTGGGTATTTGTCAGCTATGATTTTCCCATCCTTGGGTGGATGAACATCCAGCTATACACCTTTAGTATCATTCACATGATTTGGATGGTATAGCTGGATACTGTACATGATTTGGATGGTATAGCTGGATGGTATATACACCGATTATACACCTATATAGCTGGATTGGGGTAACATGATTTGGATGGTTTCACACCTTACCCCGATCCAGCTATATAGGTCCAGCCATAGCACCGTGCCGTCTGGGTCGCTAGGACACCCGCCAATGTCCAAGCCTTGGAGCTGGTGAATACCGATCTCTCAGATACTGGGACCGTCATCCTGGCTGAGGCCGTGGCTGCACCAGGAACGAAAAGGAAAACCACCGGCTTTCGAAGCCAAAATGGATCATTCATGACCATTCATGACCATTCAATTTCTTCAATTTCAAAATGCTAGTTTTTGGGCTTCCATGAGTTGAGATAAATACCGTTTTCTTGCATTTTGTCGGTGTATCGATAGATATCAGCAGATTTGTGATCAAGAGACAGCCATGCCTGTCCTGTGGTCCAGCGTGCACGCTCCCATTGTGAAGGCTATGAAGGTCAATCGCAAGGTCACGCATTTGGCGTTGCGATCGAAGCTGGCCATTGAACGTTGACGAAGGTGGATACAGAACAAGTGAATGTTCAGGAAAGATTGGAAAACTGGGAATCCCAGTACCCCAGGGCTGTACTTGCAAGAAACGACAAAAAAAAGCGCACGGTTCAAGCATTTGGATCATTTCGACATGCCACGGGTACCAAATATTCAGTACCAAAGATTCATCCATGTTGTTTTTTGGTACCCAAATCATCCAAGTCAATTCCAAGATCATCAGATACCATGGTGACTTGGGGATCCGTCCAGACCAAGGAACCTCATCGCCAAACGCGGGGCCTTGGCGATGGCGGAGGCGGTCCGCTGCAACGATGTCTTGGAAAGTTTGGACATGAATTCCAATGAGGTTGGAGAGCGAGGTGTGGCAGGATGGGCTGAGGAAAAAGATGTGCTTATCCGATGTATATATATATACATTAAATATATATATATATACAAGTATATCATTTATAATATATATATATATACATTTGAAATATGTGATTAATGTAAGCTATACATTACCTAGTTCAGCTGTGGATGACTTTGAGTAGTTGTGTTTATTTTGTGTGAAGATAGAAAACCATGGAGCAGACGGGAAAATTCAGCAACTGGTGTACATCCACAGAGATTGATTCTGGGAGTCCTACAAGACTGGCACTTCAATCTTGCCCTCCAGGTGCAGAGGAACTGGCAGAGGCTTTGCGGCAAAACACCAAGTTAGATACCTTAGACCTGGCCAACAACCAGCACCTTGGACCGTTGGAAAAGCATGGTGATATTCACAGAATCTTATGGGGAAATCAAGGGGGAAAGCCTCGGGAAATCGGCTGTATCAATGATTGCGGAATATTGCCGACATCGTTTTGTTGATTGTGCCACCATCTTTCTTGCTGATATCCCCAGACTCCATGGCTGCGATGCTGTGTCTTGATTGCCTATGGCTCAAAATTAGTTAAGTTAACAATTGAAAGTGTTGCTTCATTAAACAGAACACAACCAATTCGTTGATCTCTCCAAAATGGATGGTTTGACCACCAAAACGTGACCAATTCATATACCAAGTTTTGCAGGTCACACATGGGTTAGTACCCCACCTTTGGCCCATATCATATCCACTGGCTTGTTCGCCAACTGGTTTTTTTTCCAATCAAACATGGCAATGGAAAAGCGTCAGTTGTTGAAGGGAAACTCATCCTCTCAAATAGATACAACCGTTGAGAATTTTCCAGCTAGCCGGCTTAGATTAAACCAATCCCACATGGAAACACTCAACAAGTGGGATTGAAAGTCGTCACTTATTCTCCGCTTAGATCACTTAGATTACACCCCAAAAACAGGACTTCATCATACTTCAGCATTTGGGCATCACTTCACCATATCGAACCCACATTGAACCCTCCAAGGATAGGGCCCAAAGGCCTTATTTTTCTCGCGGAGCTCTTACGACGGAACCGCAACCGAACGTTGCGGCACCTGGCGCTGGGGTCGCTGGGCGGAGAGGGTCAGCTGTGGCTCATGGGTAACATATTCCCCACAGTAAACGAGAATAAACATTAATAAAGATTAACAAAGTGATTATATATATTACATATGTATGTGTGTAGAAATGATAGAAATGTGTGTATATATATACGTATATACATATTATGGATATCCTTTCTTGATGAACGTGTCTCAGAATCAGGCTTTGCGCGTTTTGATGCAGAACATTATGGCACATGTTTTGAGATTTTTTGGTTCCAAATGTTGAGATGACCCCAGAATGGATCAAGACAAAGAATGAAAAGAAAACTGCACTTTGGAGTCAGATCGCAGATATCAGTAGCATGTCATCGCATCTTCCCTCTTGTGAAATGCTACACAAGCAGCTTTCTTCTTTCACACACAAAATTAAATTGAAGCTATCCTTTTGGTATTACTATCCGTTGGGCTTCATTTAGCCAGGTCCACTGAACCCAAATCTGCGGGGACCTCTTCATTAGGGTATAAGCCCAACATTACACAATCCTCAATCTTCCCACAAAATTGGTAGGATTAGACTGATTAGACTCTAATAGACTCTAGACCATATTAAAACAGACAAAGATCATCAGTGCAGGTTTTCGCTGATTGGGTTTACCGGTTTACCACATCAACATATCATCCTGGTGGTCGCCATGACTCTTCTGCGCCCTCCGACCACCCGCGAGTTAGGTCACCAACCTGTCACTGTCCCAGCTGCTGAGGAACAACAACATCGGACCTGAAGCCATAGTAACCCTGGCAGGCCCTTTGGGATTTCCATGGAGCCGACAGGTTTTGAGCACTTGAAAAAGGGACAGGTTTTAAGCCACTGGGCATGGGCTGTGACAGGAGTGTTGAGGAAGAACAACACCTTGGTGGACCTCTCCTTGGACCTCAACGCCGTTGGCGATAAAGGTGGGAGCGCTTTTTGCCCAATTTGCGCGGTGCAAATTGGGCGAAACTTGAAACATTTTGATACACTTCACTGGGATCTAGACGCTTGTCTCATTCGTTTAGATTTGCAATCCTTTCTACTCAGATTTGAGTGGCTGAATTCAATCCAGAGGCTTGCTCTGGGACTCTAATGTGCTTTGGGCGTTTGTAAATGTAACAAACGGTCCAGAAGTTTGTGCAACAGTCGTGACACTCCAATCGTGATGCCAACCGTTTTCATTTTTTCCACAGAGCCCCAACAAATCAAAAGTTCCAAATGGCGGGAAGCGTCCCCAAAGCTTTGGGGTGTCAAAAATGGGTGAGAACGGTATGAAAAGATGCTTTGGTAGGTACAAAAAGCCGACATTTCCACCATATCATGACCAGCCTTGACCAGCTGAGCCTTCGCGCTGGCCCTCGCAGGTGCTGAGGCTTTGGGTGAGGCTATCAGCAGCAACCATGCCTTGCAGCGTTTGGATTTGAGTAACAATGGCATCAAGGGTCAAGGCAGACTCCGGGTCCGGAAAGGGGAACAACATATTTGGACTATAATATATATATACTATAATATACTATAATGATTCGGAATGAAATACACATGAAATATGAAATAAAGACTTGCTGCAATGATGGCTGCAATTCCTCACCTGCGGGAGAACATGGCCCGCAGGATACATTTAATTTTCCCTTGCCATGTCATCCCTTGACCAACTGCACATTTTTTGGGCTCGGTAGCGCCATGTTCCCAAGACAGCGTCCGAAAACCATGCCCTGGTGAGGTTCTGTGGCCTTCTTCAATGGTTTGAAGAACAATCACACCTTGGCGCAGCTGGTCATGGAGCTCAATCCCATTGGAGTTGTAGGTGCCATCGGTGGAGATTGCGATATGCAATTCACCTTGAAAGACTATGTGGGCCTGTGGGCCTTGGGTGTTGACGTTCATTTGATTGGAGATTTAGATAGATTTGAGATTTGGACAGACTTAGAATATTTGGCCAGATATTGTGCAGAATGAGTTGCCAAGGGAAGAAGGCAGCCATGGGCATGGAGGACTTTCCACACGCTGGACGGTACAATCGGAATTCAAGAGAGCTATCACAGCTTGAGTGCAGCTACTCCAATTTGATCTGATTGGTGGTTTCATTTTTTGTTGTTTCCATTCAATTTGGGACCTGACTTGATGATGACCCCTCAAAATGATTGATGGGCAAGGGCTATTTTAATTATATTGATGGATTACTACAGTTTTATTATTTATCTTTAGATTAAATTTTAGCCAACATTTTTTTTTGGTTCAAACAGTTAAATATCAAATAATTATCCAATATTCATAGTGTTGAATCCCAAATAACATAAATAAACCTTGATTGTGGCCAATAAAAAACCTTTATTTTTCATCATTTTTCCATATTTTCCACCGATTTCCCAGCATTTTCCCAGCATTTTCCCAGCATTTTCTACAGGTCACCACTTGCTGCCCCCTGGCTCCAGGCGCCACTGCCCTGGCGGAGGTCTTGCGGCATCACCCGGTGCTACAATTCCTGGTCACCTGGTGGAAATCCTGGGGATCGCTGCAGAAAAATGTCATGAATATGATGATTATATAGCTGTTATAATGGCGATTATTTTTTCTGTGATATATATATATATATTATATATATAATTATATATATATATGATATGTATATTAAATTATGAATCATTATATCTATGATTATCTGTGATATATTGTTATATACAGGTACGATTTCATATGTACATGTATAGATATGTGTATACGTAACCTAAGTTCAGACAGCCCAGGTTGTTGATCTTATGTAAGTGTATACTTGAAATTTCAAAATCAGTTGAAAGCAGGTTACGGAATTGTCTTTTCATATTTGGAATCAAATCATCTTAAGATGATTTTGGGAGCTCATTTTTCCAGAGTGCGGTTTGTGAATGATAGTACTGTTCGTTTACCTTGTTGATCTTGTTATGGGGGACGAAGTGGCAAGCAGTATGCAGTCACTGTTGTTTGATGACTGACACTTTTTAGGTCAGGAAACCTTATAGTGGATTCAGTTTCTGGAACTAGGACATGACAACGAACAAATATACATACATACATTACCATTACATTGCATTGCATTGCATTCCATTCCGTTGCATTGCATTACATTACATTGCATTACATTACATTACTGTAGATACATTCATGTATAATTACCCACAGGACGAGGGGTTGTCCCGAAGGGACAACCCCTTCGTCCTACGAGGGTGAGCGGAGCTAGCAACTCATTGGTTCCATTATCCCAGTGCCCGTTTTTTTTTTCCTTGTCATAACATTTCCTTGTCATAATCTCCTAGCCCCATGGCACATATACGCATACTTCTATTAGGGTTCATTTAGGGTTTACATAAGTTATAAAATCGCCGGGCCCAATGGAACATATACGCATACTTCTATTAGGGGTTTGATGAGGGCTTACATAAATTATAAAATCCCCCGGCCCCATGGAACATATACGCATACTTCTATTAGGGGTTTCATTTAGGGTTTACAGAAGTTATAAAATCACCCGGCCCCATGGAACATATACGCATACTTCTATTAGGGGTTTCATTTAGGGTTTACAGAAGTTATAAAATCACCCGGCCCCATGGAACATATACGCATACTTCTATTAGGGGTTTCATTTAGGGTTTACAGAAGTTATAAGATCCGGAGTCGCCAAAAAGTGGAAAAGATTGAAAAAGTGGAAATGGCCGAAACGCGTGAAGTCCGCAGAGGGTTCACTTTTCTGACTGATTTTCCCAAAAATTCGTCTTAGACCACGCGAACTCACAGATGTACCAGAGTCAAAAAACACTGCGCCTGTGCAGAGAAATGAGCTTCCCACTGACGTTCATACGACCATTCCGGGACAACCCTCAGTCCTGCCCGTATAATTACATAAATATAAATAAATATATATATATATATATACAATATATAGATAGAACTCAGATTGAATCAATGTATCTAGACCCAGATTCGGGTTTGTTTCAGGTTGTTTGCTACGCCCACCCCATGTCCCCCAGGACGTGCGCTTGACGGATTTGGGAGACGAAGGCTGCCTCCAAGTGGCAGAAGGCTTGAAGTGCAGCCAGGCACCATGCTGGGCCATCAAGGAACAGGGTTTCCTAAATTGGGGGCATCCTCAAATGCATGGTGCAAGAACCAAGATGCATGTAGCACATGTGAACCCTTTTGCACTGACAGGTAACTTGCCCCTGACCATAGGGTGGGGCTCGAGCGACATAGCCCGCATGTAAAAGGTGCTGACCGCACCGACTGCTGTGACCCGGTTGTCACTTCCCTTGACCTCGTGCATGGTCAGCGGAGCTACTGGTGGGGCCTTGCAACATCACTGAGGGTGTCTTCGGCATCCTCCCGGTGGAGACCTACGGTGGCCGATGCCTGAAGGGCATGAAGTCCCAACGTGGGACGGAGACCCAGCCAGCTTCGAGGGGTTTTGCACCTCGTGCCGCTGGTATGAATGCTCCTTGAAGGAGTCAGAAAGACGACTGGCTGCACCAAGGATCTGGCAGAGGTTGCAAGGATCCGCAAAGTCAGTTGTCAGGAACTTGGAGCCGAAGGACTTTGATTCCACGACAGGCCTGGACAAACTGTTGGGAATCTTGAGGGAGTCACCACTTCAAAAGCTGCCCATCCCGGATTCGTTCCAGAGGTTGGAGAAGTGGTCAGGGATGAGGTGCACTAGTGGGGAAGCAATTCCTCAGCTCCTGGTCCGCGAGGAAGAGCTCTTCGTGGAACTTCAGAGGGCACTACAACGTGCAAGAGCTGAACGTGCTAAAGCTGAACTTCGTTCTACAGGAGTTGGAGGAGCAGAACGCGACCCATCTCAGAGCCCTTCAAGATCTCCACCAGCAGGAGTTCGTGGAATGCAAGTTGGTGAGCCAGCAGCAGAAGAACCTGGGGTTTCAGGAGTTCTTCACACTCCAGCGGATGGCATGGGATCCAATGGATTCTTCGAGGACGAGATGTGAGGGTACCGCCTGTTGAAGGCATCTCGCCTTTCGCAAGCGGAACGACAGCATGTGATGACCCTGACAAAGAACAGTACCCACTTTCATCTCATTCGCCAAGCTCTTCGATCCCTTTTCTCTGAGGACCAGCAGGACGACGGCTTCAAGCAGAAGGTCTGGTATGCGGAAATGGAGGATTCATGGAGTCCAACATGGGAGGCTGATGACAATGCAGCCTATTGGATGGATGACGAGAACTACCAATGGGATGAAGAGTACGCCTACTGGAGCGACTGGCCATCACCTTCGAGCTCTTGGGATGACCCCTACATCTATGAGGAGCACGACAGCACTGCCTATGAGGAGACGGCCGACGTGGACAAGGAGAAGACCCAAGAAGAGATCGACGAGGACAGACGCGTCGAGGAGGCCTACACGTTGGCAGCTGAGGCCAATAGAACCTTGGCCGAAGCCAAGCAGGCAGTGGCACGTGTCCGAGCTGCCCGTGGATACTATGATCCAACTGGCACCAAGGGGCACACCGGCAAGGGCAAGGGCAAACCGAAAGCTGGAAAAGGCAAAGGAGCCACTGGGCCATGTTTCACTTGTGGCCGGCCGGGACATTCGTACTTGCACTGTCCTGACCGCTGGTCACCCCAACCGAAAGGTGGAATACCCAAAAGGGGAAGGGCAAACCATCTGGCCTGAAAGGTGGAAAAGGTTTCAAGGGCAAAGGCAAAAAGACCTACTTCATGGAGTATAACCCCACGCACTACGCTGACTATGACATGTCCCATGTGTATGTCCTCTCCACTGTGGATGAGAACCTTGTCCAGTCCATGGCCATTGAGAAGGCGATCTTGGACACCGGTGCAACGGAGTCAGTGGCAGGAGTCGCAATGATGGCTCGATTGATCGACAATGGCCTCATGGAGTACACCATTAGGCTGGACGACAGACCGAGCTTCCGGTTTGGCAATGGACAGACCCAACGTGCAGTTTCCAAGCTGGAGCTCATGACGCCTTCGCTTGGGAAGATCGGCTTCTACCTCCTGGATGATGGGGCCGACTGCACTCCGATGCTGATTGGAGCTCGGGAGCTTCGAAGACGCAAGGCAATGATCTCCTACAAGGGGGACTGGCTGGCGTACTTCCTGGACAATGACTGGTGGGCATGTTCATTGAAGTCACTTCGCAATGGGCACTTGGCCTTGGATCTTCTACGAGCACGACGTCCTCTCTGCACCTTGATCCGACAGTTCACACGTTGGCCGGATCCACCTCCTGGCCGACGAGATGAAGACAGTGGTGAAGAAGGTGAAGGTGATGGCAACGATCCACATCGCCGGAAGAGACCGAGAGGACCTGGGAGCTCGCTTGAAAAGCTTGTGAGACAGGAGACTGTGGGTGTTGGAGCCTACGGTGGAGGAAATGGCCACGCAGCAGGCCGCAAGTCACCTGCTGCCCCAGCTGAAGTTCCTGGAGAAGCACCCACGACGCCTATCGAAGACCGTGGACGGCATGACGATGAACTTGGTGATCCACCCTCAAAGGCTAGGACATCGCCTGGCTACACTCCTGGCTCTGGAGTTGGAAGCCCCGATGTGATCGTCAGGGAAGCAGATGACAATGACGACGAGCACCATGCCTACGTCCGTGGACTTCGCGAAGGCAGCTCAGAACGTCGAGAAGACGAGTCTGCCCGAACTCTACCTCCAGAAACTCCAGAACTTGGGGAACGAGATGGTCCTATGGATGTCTCCAATGCGGAGAAGACTCCGGACACTCATGCAGAGGCGGCTGAAAACAGTGAGCCGTCGATCATTGAGCGCCCCTTCAACTCTGAGGCAACTAGGTCTGGCACTTCTGAGGCAACTAGATCGGGGACTAGTGGGGGTTCTTCTGGCATGTCACATGTCACTTCAACTGAACATCAACCTGAACAGCATGAAGAACTACGTCCAATCCTGATGATCAGCTGTCATGGATGGAAGGCACAAGGTGATGAGGTGAACAGTTTGGGCCGAGTTCAGCATGATGGGCACCGTCACAACATGGACGACCGCCTCAGCAGCTTGGCTCAACGTCTGCGACAGCTGCAAGACCAGGTCTTTGGACCACATGAAAACGGTTCCCCCTGCCGCAGACTCCGATCCCCGCCAGACGGGATGGCCATGTATGGGAGCCCACAAGCCGGGCCGCGAGCGCAGCAACCAGTATGCGCTGTGGACAGCATGCAGTCGATGTGGACTGCGCCTGAGCTATGTGGCCAAGGGACGCCATCAAGAAGACACCAGAGCAGTTGGGCCACCGAGAGACTTGGTGATCCAAGCGCAACAACAATCTGCGAGTGGAGTTTGCCCCCACAGACATGAACGAGAAGATCTTCCAGGGCAAGCTCATGGAGGTGAAGGGCAGGGAATTGGTGAATTCTCATGGAGCCGGACGCACCACCGTCCAAGTCCGTGCCGACGAGCGCCTGGGACAGTTGATGATGAGCGAGCCGCCGAAGACAAAAGGCGCAAGGGCAAAGTCGGCAGCGACATCACCAATCCCGGAGGAGCACATCGCGGAGATGGCACCGATCGCAAGGACGCCCAAGACTCCTTCGAGACGCTCCACATCACCTACCAGGACACCGGGCACGGAGTCATCTCCAACGACTCCGGAGGAAGAGAGCTTCAATCCTCCTTCCAGGCCCATCAAGAAGGAGAAGCCAGTGGAGGCAAAGAAGAAGGAAGTCACGGTGGAGGCAACAGAGGTGCTGACAATCTCCGACGACGAGATGGTGAGCTCTGCAGAGGAGGAGAAGACCATGGAAAAGCCCAAGAAAAGCCAGGGCAAGTGAGCGCCCTGTGGAAAGCGCTGCGCAACTTGCAGCACAGGATGCGTGGTGGGAACTCTGAGCCCACGATGCCATGTCCGCCGCGGCTGGAGGCTGCCCAGGACAACAGTTTTCCTTCAACTGGACTGACAACATCAACTTACAATGCGCAACACTCCACACGCACTACGATGAATTCAACGAATTCGGCACAACAGACTGGCCATTTTGGAAAGTCTGACCGGAATGATGGATCTGTCTTGATCCATGACAAGATCAGGGACGAGGTCGACGACATGGAGAGCGTCAAGGAGAAGCTTGTCAGGCCCTCACTGGCAAAACGCCTGGCACAGGCAGCATGTGTCACTGCGGCCTTGGTGAACCCGCTCTATGAGCTTGTGGGCATGGTCAAGCCGCAGGTGGACATCATGGAGATTGTCTGCTCTTCAACTTCAACCTTGACGAGGACCTTTGAGGACCATGGTTTCTATGGGAAACGCATCAACTATCAGCACGGCTTTGACCTGGACTCCAAGAAAGGCACAGAGAAGCTTGTGGCTGAGGTGAGGGCCGAACCTCCAAAACTGGGTTGGGCCTCAATGGTGTGCACTCGGATGAGTAGCCTGCAGAACCTGACACCTCGAACGCCAGAGCAGTTGGATAAGTTCTACAAGCGAAGAGGCCAAGACTTGAGGAGATGCGACGAAGTGGTCACTGCCTTCGAGGAGATCCTCAAGAATGACGGAGATGTCGCTTGGGAGTGGCCCACATCAGCGGTTTCTGGATGGCGATCAAAGCCGCTACAGCGCTTAGAAAGGCTCATCAAGAAGTACCGCAAACACGTCTACTGGGTGAGAATAGACGGCTGTCAGTATGGACTGGAGTGGAAGGGCACCCCGCTGAAAAAGGCGTGGACAATCCTTACGTCCTGTAGGGACCTCTGGTTGACATTGAACAAGCGGTGCGATCACACACATGAGCACGCGGAATGTCGAGGTCCCGCAGCACAAGCGTCCGCATACTACCCAGCCTCCATGTGCAAAGCCATCGTGAAGGCAATGACGCACACTTGGAGGAGGTCGGACAACACCACGACCCTTGCGGAGGCCTACCTGCTCAACATCGACTCCACCAAGGACGAGGTCACCACGGCTGATCTACCTGATCAACTTCATGGACACTCCTGTGGAGGACTACATGGACCTCATCTTGGACATTCTTGCGGAGACCTTCATGATGAGAAGGCTGTGATGGCCTTGAGCCGCAACAAGCTGAACCTGGAAGTGGCCCCAACGGG